GAAATGGTGTAAAAGCGTAGGGTGGGGTATAGGTGTAGGTTGGGGAACGAACTGGGAAATGACCCTCCCTTGCTTTTAGAGGGGGGGTTTGGGGCCATAGAATCCAGGTTCTTGGATTCGAACGAAAGTGGGGAGTCTTGGGGATGTTGGGGGCTTGAGGTTCAATTCTACCAAACGGCTCTCAACGACTTCAGAATTTGGGTTCAGGGTTTAGGATCTAGGAGTTAAGAGTTGCTGTAAGCCCCAGAAACCCTCAAGAGTCAGCCTTTGCGTGTTCTCGGGGTTTCCAGAGACTCTAGCATGTTTAGGTAAGGACCAGACCTGGCGCTGTCATGCCTTGATACATAATTAACCATAGGCCCCATAGTAGTTCCTTTTTGGGCTTACCTAAAAGGATCCTAAATACAAGCCACAAAAAGGCACTACTATTGAGCCTATGGGTAACCTGTCTGACTAAGGGATGTTGGAGTCTCTGGGTTGTAGGCTTCTTTCAGAGGTTTTCGGCTTTAAGGTTTTAGGGCTGGGATTTAGGACGTTGGGGTTCAGGGTTCTCAGGGTTTGCTATGTGCGGGTGCGTAAGAATTGAGCCGGAGCTTCGTCAACCATCGACTATGCTGGTATCTGCAGCTTTGTAGTACTGTAAGGGCTCTACTAGAGTTCCATAAGGGTTCTACTGTAGAAAGGGTTTTTAAAGGTCTCTGAGAGGGGGTCATAAGAGTAAGTGACCACATGAGGCCCCGTTGCCATTGTTGGTATTTGCGGGGTCCACACCACTGCCTTACGATTTCAAGTTGGTCCCTGGACTGCAAAGCAGACACCGCTTCAACTCAGGCAAGAGGTCAAGGAACCAACAACTCCTAAAGCTGGAAGTTTGCCTCTGTTCCCAGGTGGTGGCGCTATGTGCCGATTTGGCCGGCGACTGAGACTTTACTCTTTAACCCTTAATTATTCTTCAAGGTTTTAGGGTTTGGGGGTGTGGGGCCCGAAACTCTATCCCCGAAACAGCGGCAGGGATGTTGTCGGACTGCAAGATCTCTACCTTAACCTACCGAAACCCACTTTTTTTTGAAGGTTGAGGCTCTTATGATAAACCCTAATATGGGATACGTGGGGGACCCTACATAAATGCCGGTTCTGGTGGGTTAAGCTCGGGTCGGGGTTTTGGGCTTAGGGTTGGAGTGTTTGGGGGTGGTTGATGGTGCGAGGGGTGTGGGCAGTAGGCTTTACGGAGGGGGTGGTTAAGGATTTAGAAGTATGAGGGTTTGGGATTCCATAGACCCGAAACCCTAAACCCTAAAGGGTGCAGGCTATGTTGATGCTTCAGAGAGTGAGGACTGCAAAGTGCAAACTGAGGCCCTTGCTTATTTTGGGCTTGCTCCTCACTGTTTGATTTCTGCCCAGTGCAGTCAGAATTTGCGACTGTCGAGGTTTTTTAGCTGCAGGAGTAAGTGGGGTAGAGTTCCGAATCTGTTGTGGTTTCTTCTCCGAAAACTACTCGCAAGACGCTATATCTAATCCGAACCGCAGTTCAATCCATCCATGTCGCGCAGCTTTTCACAATAAAGGCCCGTCGAGGTTACCAGGCTTCAAGGAAGCCTTGGTCCTGAACGCGGATGCCCTCAAGTCCTCAACACCCTAAACGCTAAACCCTCGGGCCGTTGACCCTTAAAAGCTATTTTGGGTGTTGGCTTTGACTCTTCGGTCTGGAATGCGACCATTTCAGCCGCTTCAGGCTGCACGTTCGTTGCAGCGATGTCTTGCATACCCATGATGCAAGCTAACCTGGCATTGTTCTTGCAGCATCTTGCCCAGAAGCCTACAATCACTGCATTGCTACTACAGATCGGGGTGGCCCTACCCGTTCTTTCACTTCGGGATATGGCTCGCTCCATGTCCATGGCTGTTTTAACAGAAACCTTTGAAAACCCTGGTTATAGACCCTGATTTGTAGTACAAGTTCTTGATTACTCTGCTGATTCATCTTGCTAGGACCCTTACCCTGACACAGGCTGGCCCAAGAAGGAAACGTAGGGGCCTTAATAATTAGCATAGGGCTTTGGGGGTTCCTTATTGTAACTAGAGTATAATATACCCCCCCAAACCCTATTCTAATTATGAAGGCCCCTACATTATTCCAATTCAGGGCCCAGGCATGAAACCTCTTGCGCCATGTACCTATAGATCCTATAGTCTCCATTGTAGTTCCTTTTTTTTGGTTCAACCTATTATGTATTAAGGATTTCATAAGGTATCCCTAAAAAGGAAATACAATGGAGACTGAAGGTAGCGCCCGAAGAAGTTTCAGTGGCGTCTCCACCTCCAGGCACTTCTCCGCGAGGGGGCCTATCGCCACGTGACGGAGATGAAGAGTGAGAGGCGCCAGTGATACCAGGGGTTTGAGGGCAGGCCCCATATAAATCCATACGTATATATATATATATATATATGTATGTATATATATATATATAGAGAGAGTCATTATATATATATATATACACACATACATGTGTATAGCATCTAATTTTGATGTGGCAAGTTCAGTTCGGGTCTTTTGTCAAACCTTACACGACTTTTCAATCTTAGGGCAAGAGCTCACCCAACAATCCAACCCACTCTAAACCCTGAACCCTGAACCC